TGAGCGTGATGCGACCCCCGAAAGATAGATGCCTACCCTTCCAACTAGCAAGTTTCTTCTTAAAAGATTGAACCATTGGATACCACATTGCCAATTTTCTGTGATTCCCACCAATTGGAATTCCTAGATATTTAAATGGAAATTCCCCTTGTGTGCAACACTGTCTATAAGCCATTCTTGATGTCCATCTTTCCTCAACACCCATCCCCATTAGCTGACTTTTCGCAAAATTAATTTTTAACCCCGAAGCCAACTCAAAAATCCTCATAATCCCTTTGACCACCTTTATGTTTTCATCAGAGGCCTCCTCAAAGAAAATAGTATCATCCGCAAACTGTAAATGTGTGATCATTGTATCTCCATTTCCCACCTTCACACCCTTGTAAAGATTCTTCTCTACTGTAGCAGAAACTAACCCATTCAAACCTTCTGCCACAATCAAAAATAAGAAGGGGGATAGTGGGTCTCCTTGACAAATGCCTTTGCTTACCGGGAACTCTTTAGTTGGGCTTCCATTAATGAGAACCGAGACCGAGCTTGATCTTAGGCATTCTTGAATCCACTTTCTCCATTTTTTCGAAAATCCCATCCTCATCATCATGAATTCTAAAAAGCTCCAGCACACTTTATCATATGCTTTCTCGAAATCGACTTTGAAGAGAAAGCTTTTCTTCCTCTTCCTCTTAGCCTCATCAATGACTTCATTTGCAATCACCACTCCATCGGCTAATTGTCTACCTTCAATAAATGCCATCTGTTGTTCCCCAATTACCTTTGGCAGCACCCTTCGCAGTTGGTTTGCTAGCAACTTAGCGATGATTTTATACATGATCCCGATGAGCGAAATGGGTCTATAATCCTCAATTCCTTGAGGATTTTCTTTCTTTGGGATTAGAACAATGAAGGATGCGTTGGATCCCCTTGCAATTCTGCCATACTCCCAAAATTCCTGCACAAAGTCGATCACCTCAACCTTTATATCTTCCCACATCTTCTTCACAAATCCAAAGTTGAAACCATCCGGGCCTGGGGCTTTGGAAGAGCAACAGTCCCAAATTGCTTCTTTAATTTCCTTTTCATCAAACTCGACCACTAGCATCTCATTGTCTGCTTGTGAAATCTGATTAACTCTAATCCAATCCAGCTTTGGTCTCTGCCATGCCACTTCTGAGAATAAATCTTTAAAATACATAGCCACTTCTTCCTTTATTTCCTTCACACCCGTGTACTGTTCCCCATTGATCCGAATACAATTAATTTCATTTCTTCTC